CTCTCTCTCTCTCTCTCTCTCTCTCTCTCTCTCTCTCTCTCTCTCTCTCTGTGTTACTCACGCCTCGCCCTGGCCCTGGTTACCCCACGCAGGTTTGCCTCGCGGCACGAGGGATTAAGATTGTGCAGATAAACCCCCGCATGCCCGCGAACCGCCCGCGGTCACAAAAAGGGTTGTTAGGGTTCGGTTCACTGTAAACATTTTCTATTCTTTTACAACACGTTTTTTTGATCAAAGAAAATCAAGGTAAATTATCATATAATTGTGGACAACATTTTCATTTTTCTTTTTTGCAAAATGACAATTTTTTTGTTGTCATTGCGAGAACTATTAAGTCAGATATTTGACAAAACGTTTGTCGTTTTGACAATAAATTGTCATAAAAAATCAAATTTTGATACAGGTAGAAGTGTTAAGTCATAGAATAAAATGACAGGCAAGATGAATCTTTACAAATTTACCCTGTACTACAATCATTCAGACTATTTCTGTCAAATAACAGATAAAGTTTTACATGACAGACCGTGCCTCCTTCCAATGGGGCACTACACCGTCGTCGCCCAGCTCCTGTCAGGAAATCCTCCAAACATATATGGGGAACATGTGAAGTAAGCAGAAAACAAAAATATAACAAAATAATTACTCTATTAAACATTTCCTAGATTTTTCTTTGTAATTTTGTGACGTCGGGCAAGCAACTTAGTTTTCCTTTGACACTTTGGCATTACTCACCCATTGAAAGCAGCGCGAGACGCGGGGCGGACGGATGCGCGGGAACCGAGAGGCGAGGTGGAGGGAGGGGGGAAAGAAAGGTGGGAGGAGGGGGCGGTAGCAGAGCATAGTCGGCCTGGCATGATGAAGAGTGATGCCCCGCCGGCAGGTCTGATCACATTTTTCATTCGGTCCCGCCGCGCCTCCGCGTTCACCCCGTCTTCGCCCTCCCCCCTTTCCCCTTCTCCCCCTCCTCTCCTCTCCCTCTTTTCCGCGTCCTTTTATGAATCCTTATTTTGATACTTCTCACGCTTCATCAGTCGTCATCTTGATATTTTGTATTTCTCACCGAACAACCATGTTTTGAGGTAGCAAGGAAACATATGCTTCATACGTGGTTCGCTTTGTTTGATTACTGTTTCATTGTCGTTCAGTGCACACTGAACTGACCGCGTTATACTATCGTTGCTACGTTTGTTTCCAGCATTTGCGAAACTTTTCCTCTCTCTCTCTCTCTCTCTCTCTCTCTCTCTCTCTCTCTCTCTCCCTCTCTCATCCCGTCTATTTCTCTCTCGTCCAGTCTCTCTAACGCGCTCACGCAACCACGCGTCCCCTCCCTTTTCCACGCACACACATCGCTTTGTCCAGCGTGGAATGGGATTCTGATCCGCTTAGCACAATTGGCTGCTCGATTGCGAGTAAGAAAGCGAGGTGGAAAGAAAGCGGAATTGGTTGGGCAGAGAATAAAAAGAAATAAAAGCGTTTTGCGGGTTTGCGTGAATGTGTGTGCTGCTGGGAATGTGTTAGAGAGAGAGAGAAAGTGAGAGAGAGAAAGTGTGTGAGAGAGAGAGAGAGAGAGAGAGGCTAGTCGACCGTTATTTCTGTCGCTCCCTACCCTACACAGACGCCCCACTCTCCTCATCCCCAACACCAACACCTTCGCCCCCACCCCCTCCCAACTTCCCCCTCCCGCCGAGAATTCACATATTGCGCCCACGTGGTGAACCGAAATACCTGGAAGGGCTCCCCGATAAGATGGGGTGGAGACACGGGGCGGCCCGGGCCGGGGCTGGCTGCTGCCGATGGCGGCGGCTGCTGGCGCGAGGCTGGCGCCCCCCCCTCCCCCCAGGGAAACACCGCAAGGGCCCCGCACTGACACCGCCGCCGCAGGAGACGGAGCACCCGAGCCACATGCATAACTTATCAAGCAGGCCGGAACACAACTTCGCACAACTGAAAAGCAGTAGCTTGAAAGAGGAAAAATTGCTTCCACAAAAAAGAAAATGAAAAGGATGCCCCCCCCCCACCTTATTGGCGGTCGGTGCGGTGGTGGCCGCATCTTATTTTTCGTTAATTTTTATTTCTCCCTGATTATACTCCCGAACGTCCCCCTTGCCCTCCCGGACCGGAGCCGGGCTGCTGTGCCGGCAATAACCGTCACGGCTGCTATAGGCGATGAGAAAGGCGGAGGTTAATTGATTAAGGCGGCCGTGGCGGCGGTGGGGGGCGGCGCGGGG